GAGAGAGAGAGAGAGAGAAATAAATGGAATATATTAAATTATATCTATAAGTATAATATATTTCTGGGATATTTTTCATAGATTTTTAGAGGTTAAAATAAACATAAAAGTTATACAAAAATTGAGATCGATTGATTAGGTTATATTAAGTTAGATTTATTTATTAATTTACAAACAATTGAAAAAATAAACAGAGACAAAGAAAAACAATAATATCATAGAAATAGAATGAGATAGTTTATCAAATACAAATTTTAATTGTTTATAAATTTTAATTCTTAATAATTGATCATTTTATCAATTATTGTATTTGTTCAGCTTTTAAAATAAATCTTTTGAAAATATCCCACGAATATATTAACAATACATATATATTAATTTAAAAAATATATATATATAATGAAATTCTTATTTTTCTTATTTCATTATCAGTATATTAACATTCTATATAACTCATATTAAAACAATTTTTAAAAAATATATATATATATAAACAGAAAATTTTATTTTACTTATTCCAATCAACAAAAAATATATTTATTCAAATCGCATCTATACAAAAGCAACAGAACTTACCGTATAACCTTAAAGTGCCGTCGGCTTTGCCAAGACTGTTGGTCGACACACATTTGTAACTGCCTACGTCCTGCTCGGTAAATCCTTTGATTAACAACCACATCAGAACTTTGTATCCGGATCGTTCTTCCCTCACGTTGTACTTGAGTCTGCAATTCAACAACAATGAGGTTTTTTTTTTTGCCAGCTATTTTATCGAAATGCTCCCACGTATATGCTGAATCGAGGTTTAAGATTAGAAAAGAACGGACATAACCTCACCCTTCGAGCAACATCTCGTCCTCTGAGCCCCGCCGGTTCTTTACCCAGTAATTAATTGTGTTTGGGAATGCCTCGACGTAGCATTCTAGCTGCACGTCCGTGCTCAAAGGTGCCCCCAGAAGCTGATTAGGCGCTTTGACGACAGGTGCAACTGTGAAAGCGATTTCAAATTAATTAGCCGATATTCATCTCGTTACACGGCTCGTCAACGTTTTAATTAACGTTTTCGTGCATGCTAGATATCGTGGAGACATATTAATTTGCTTTTTTGCTTTTTTGTAATCTTCTTGACTACTCGTGAATAATTTATATACTATATATTGTAGAATAATCATCGTAATTATTAGGAATCAATCAATCAATCAACGTGTCTGCTTTAATTATTTTCGTTATTAGGTAGGACTAATTAAAATCTTTTTAAATTTGTGTATTTTTTTTAAATTTAAAAAATTTTATCTTTTTAATTTTATCGTAT